GTCAGTTCCAACTCATAATGACCCATTATTGGGTTTCTGAGCAGTGGCTGGTGAGTTTGAACCAACGGCCTTATAGTTCAAACTGTTGTTAAGGTCGGTGCTTATCCTATGGTGCCATACCATGACTTCCGTGTTTCCATTAGTCATGAAAACAATTCTTAATCTGCTTATCTAGTTAGAAGTTCCTTACTTTTCATTAAATAATGAAATATGCGTCAGATTAAATAATACTAAAGAAAATGCAAAAGGATGTTTTACCTCTACTGAAACTCAAGAGTTTGTTAATATGTCCTTCTCTTATTCTTATTTGTAGAAAAGAGGCTTTGCCTTTGTTTTAATGCAGACATTTGCATTTTCCTATTAGGCTTAATCCAGTGAAGCCAGGTTTCACTCTATCTTGAGTTTCTTGCTCAGTTCCCAGTTTCTCACTATCTAGCAGAGTTTCTCCAGAGGCCACTGAACATTTACAGAGAGCAGCTGCTTTAGAAATAAACACCAGTTGTTGGCACTGGAAACCGCATCAACAAGTAAGTTGCTTTGCCTTTCTAAGGCCAGAGCTTCTGAAAAGTTAGCAACAGCACCAAGAAAGACGTAACTTCAGAATGACTCTCATGTAACATAAAATTAGTGACCTGTGCTCTTAATTTGGAAATTAATTCTTCCATAAATTGCATTCTATCGGAATAAAGAATCTCAGCTTATAAGCAGGTGTAGCCATTAATAGTAAAGCAGTTTGTTTATGCTGATGTTTTTACTGCTGAGAAAAGAAATTTCAGTCTCAGTCATTTTGAAAGCTGGAGCCTACCTCAAAAAACCTCAGTGGCTGTCCCATTGAGAGCCCTACAATTGAGCACAGGCTTACTGAGTATCACAATGTGCAAGCTGTGCTTGGAAAACTGGGAAATACTCAGAACACTGACTTGATCTCAGTTCAGTGTATGTTTGTTATGTGCCTCCACTACTATATCTCCCTAACTTGCCGTGTTGGGCTGTAAGTACCATAAGACAGATTTTTTTGTTTTTTAAACATAGTGGCATTTGATTTTCATTTGATTTTCACAGCAGCTTTATGAACTACGTGTTTGGATTCCTTTTAGAGAAGAAGAAGATGAAGACATCATAGATATCTGTGTGGTTGACTATTATGGTGAAAAACAAAGGCTGAGCTGATAAAAGTAGGGGAAGAAATTGACTAATAATTATATGAACTCCAGGCATTGAACCTGGCATATTCATGCATCACCTCATTTGTAAAGATCCTGGTTTGTGATTCGTCATGCTAGACATACTGTTTAATAACGTGATCTTTCCATTTAATATATTTGACCACTTCCTGTGGTACTAAGTATGGTGTTTTCACATTGCTTTTAATGGCTACTTGATTTATTTAACCATTTTCCTTATAAATGAGATGTAGTAGGGGTGGGCACATGTTTAAATATATGATATTAAATGCAAAAACCTAAACAGAAAAGATGAATAGTTTTGAACACATAAATTATTTAAAAAATCCTTGGAGGTGTCTTGGTGGCATGATAGTTTAAGCATTGGACTGCTAATGAAAGGTCGATGATTCAAACCCACCAGCTGTTACATGAGTGGAAGGCATCCTATTTCTATAAAGATTTACAGCCTTGAAAAAACCATATAAAAACTCTACAGGGCTATTCTACTCTGTCTTACAGGATCACTCCAAGTTGGAATTGACTCCGCAGCAGTGAGTGTGGCCGACAAAATAACTATCCATTAAAATAAAAGGCATGATCTCATTTAATTCTCACAACAGTTTTATGAAATAAGCACTTCGATCCCTTTTAAAGAAGTGTAAACATCGATGGATTTCTGTGTGATTATCTTGTTGGAAAGCGAAAGCTGATAGAATGGGAGAAGAGAGAGGGCGTAGCTTGAGATTAGTTTTTACAGCAGTCTTGGATATGAATCCCAGCTTTAAAACTTCAAAGAAGGTCTTGGATGAACTTCAGTGTATAGACAGTTAAAAAGATTACATTTTCATTCCATCTTTTGAAGTGTTCAGTTTTATACCCTTTCTCATAATAGCTGTTGTGACAGCAAAGGATATCTTTTTCAGACATGTCTTCAAAGATATGTCAGGTATGTCTTTAAATGCAAAATTTCAGAGACATCAGTGACAGGCAGATCAGATACTGATTACAATAGTTATATCCTTTAAATAGCGGAAATTATGGAGGTCTCATTTAAATATAGAGCTCCCCTAGAGCAAATTGTATAGATCATTAGCTACTTATTCGAGTGAGTGAGGTTGTGGGGAGTGCACCAATTTGCATTGGCTGTTTTCAGTTAGATGAAATGAAAGATCAGTTACAGCTATCATTAGCTTATCAGTGGTAAAGTCCGGAATGAAAAATTTATTATGTAAATGTTTTCAGATCATATTTAGGTGAATCCCATCAAGTTAAAATTCCCACTGCATCTTTTGTATGAGCAGATTGCTCATTAGTTGTCTATGATGTTTCTGTTCAATCGATGTGAAATTTTACTTAAAATATGGATATAGTATTTCCATCCTCTGGAGTAACAGAATTTATAATAAGTACTTACCTTGGTACATTTACAGAACCATATTTAATAGGCCTTCCAGAGCTCTGGTAAATACAGCCATTTGGTCTGTTTTCTTTGAATGTTTGTCTTCTGGAAAAGCTGTAGGAAATGCAACGATCATCTTAAAAGTTTTTTTTTTAATTTAGTACTATTGCTTTTTTGAAATTTAACACAAGGCTCAAGGACTATATAATCTTTATTAATTGCAATCAAAAGAGATTTTTAATAGTAACTTAGTTTTCTGATGAGGTGCTATTGGATAATTATTAGACTGCTAACCACAAGGTTGGAAGTTCAAACCCACTAGCAGCTCCTCAGAAACTGTGTACAGGCTCGCTGTGTGTTTTAACCAACTTTACAGAATGAAACAACCTGTATATAATATTTTAAATCTCATTTTAATTTTGTTAAGATTTACGCAACAGAACATTTGGTCATCCAACGATTTCTACTCGTATAACTTGGTGACACTGGTCCCAATATTCCAGGTGTGCAAATATTGTCTCCACTCCCACACCTACCCCATTTCTAAGGGCTCCTTTCTAATTCACGTAAATTCACTGCCTTCTTAGTTTGCTGACTAATCCTTTGAGTTGCTGTTGTCAATTTGATCCTATATATTTCTTACAAGATCCCAATGCTCAAGACAGACATTCCGTAGTAGTTAATATAAACTGCTGTTTGATTTAAAGGAAGACTAAAAGGATGTTTTTGGCTCAAGATTTAATGATTATCTCAGTGCAAAACTCTCCAGATTTATCGAGCTCAGTGGTTCCAGAGGTCTGAATTTTATGAAAGTTTAAAAAATTATTTTGTGCATTTCTCCCCTTTGATGAGAACATTCAGTGATTTTAGCTGAGCATCATCCACTTCTTGTGGTCTCATGGCAAAATAGACAGTTTTCATTGGAGACAGCTAGCTACATAATCATTTCTTCCTCCTATTCCTGACTCTCTTTACTCTGTTATTCCAGGAAAACATCAACCAGTTATTTTACCTTGGTATAGAGTATATTTTCATAAGGGCATTTTTTAAATTATTTTTAAACAGATAAACAATCAGATCCTGTATGGAAGGAGTCACCAAAATGCATCTGCCATAATTAAGACTGCCCCGACAAAGGTGAAGTTGGTTTTCATTAGGTAAGATGGACACCTCTAGTTTTTCAAAATCACAGTAATCTTTTTTGGAAATGTTTTTATGTGCATAACACTATTATGTCTGTGATCCTAACAAAACCACTTTCTGTTCTAAAAAGTACATTTTGATTTTCTGTCACTTTAACAAAAGTGTAGAGTGTTTCTGTCATGAGTTTCTCTTGTGTCACATATTAGATTCTGTATTTGAGGCAAATATTTATATTGCAATTATAAAATGTATACGCTTCCTGGGTTTAATTATCTTGTTTAAAAATATAGTAGAAATGTCTTGGAAAAGCGGATTCCTCAGTTCATATCAAACTTTAAGGGGCCTTGAATAACCAAAACAAACTTCGGAAAAAAAAAAGTAACAAATTAGCAGGACTCACGCTGATTTTAAAATGCTACAGTAATAAAAACAGTATGGTACTGGTATAAAGGAGCTCTGGTAGCATAGTGGTTATGAGTTGGAATGCTAACCTCAAGGTTAGCAGTTCAAAACTACCAGCCATTCCATGGGAGAAAGATGAAGCTTTCTGCTCCCGTTAAGATTTGTAGCCTCGGAAATCCTATATAGGGTTCCTATGAGTCAGAAGTGACTCCACGGCATATAATGACCACAACTTGTATAAGAATCAATACCTAGACCGGTAAAATAGAATTAAAATATGGAAATAAGCTGATCAATCTATACCCAATTCATTTTTTTAACATGATGCCAAATCTATTAATTGGGGAAAGAATCGTTTCTTCACTTAATGGTGCTGATACCACTGGATTTCTACTTGCAAAAGAATATGCTGAACAGTTTTCAGTATCCTAGACAGAAAGATAATTTAAAAACTGCTACAACAGTACAGTCATAGGGTTCAAGCCTGATTCAGGTAAAGTCGTGGAACGAGAGATATGGTTGCTGACATCTGATGGGTTTTGGCTGGAAGCAGAGAATACCAGAAAGATGTTTACCTGTGCTTTGTTGACTACACAATGGCTTTTGATTGTGTGGATCATGACAAGCTACGGACAACATTGCAGAGAATTAATATTCCAGAACACTTAATTGTGCTCATGAGGAACCTGTACATAGACCAAGAGGCAGTTGTTCAAATAGAACCAGGAGACAACAAATGGTTTAAAATTAGGAAATGTGTGTACCAGGGTTGTATTCTTTCACTAGGTTTATTCTGTTGGTATGCTGAGCAGATAATTCAAGAAGCTGGATTATATAAAGAAAAACATGTCATCATGAATGAAGGAAGACTCATTAACAACCTGTCCTATGCAAATGATACAACCTTCCTTGCTGAAAGCGAAGAGGACTTAAAATACTTGCTAAATGAAGGTCAAAGACACAACCTTCAATATAGGTTGCACCTCAATTTGAAGAAAACAAAAATCCTCACCACTGGATCAGTAAATAACACCCATATAAATGGAGAAAAGATTGAAGTCACAGACTTCAGTTTGCTTAGATCAACCATCAACACTCATGGAAGCAGCAGTCAAGAAATCAAACCACATCTTGCATTAGGCAAATTTAGTGCACAATAACTCTTTAAAGTGTTCAAGATAATAGATGTCCATTTGAGGACCTAAAGTGTGCCTAACTCAAGCCATGGTATTTTCAATAACTTCATATACATGTGAAAGCTGGACAGTAAATAAGAAAGACCTTAGAAGAATCGATGCATTTGAGTTACGGTGTTGAGGAGAATATTGAAACCACTATGGACCGCTGAAAGAACAAACAGATCTGTGTTGAAGAAATACAGCCAGAATGATCCTTAGAAGACAGGATGGCCAGACTTTGTCTGTCACACTTTGGCTGTATTATCCTGAGGGACCTGGATAAGAACATCATGCTTGGTAAAGTAGAGGACCAGCGAAAAAGAGGAAGACCCACTAAGGAGATGGACTGGCACAGGGGCAGCAGCAGTGGTCTTAGTGTAGCAGTGATTGTGAGGATGGCTCACGACCAGGCAGTGTTTCATCCTGTTGTGGTCACAATGTGTTGGTACCTACTTGATGGTACCTAATAACAGCAGGAAGAAAGACCTGGCAATCTACATCCTCAAATCTGTCAGTTTTATCACTGTGGATCACAGTAGTCTAATTTGCATCTGATCCTGATAATGGTGCAGAACTGGAAGTACTGCATTATTTTGTATGGGGTCACCACAAGTTTGGGATTATCCTAGGCAGCTAACCATAACACCAAAGACCCATACCTCATACCATGTACAATGATGAACTCAAAACAGATCCATGGCCTAAATATAAGAACTAAAACTTTAGTAGCCAAAGTTTTAGAAGAACTTGAAAGCTTCAAGATCTTCTTAAAGGCAATGGGATTTTAGATATGGCACTAAAACCATGAGCAACAATTGAAAAAATAGAGTAGACTTCATCAAAATAAAAAAGTTTGAATGTGGTACGTGCTAGACTGCTAACGAACGCACCAGCTGCTCCTCAAACTCCATACAGTGTTACTATCACTTGAAACCAACTTGAAGGCACTTCACAACAACTACTTACAGAATTTATAAGCAACTCTTAGAGTTCCAAAAAGATGACCAACTCAATTTCAAAATGAGCCAAAGACATGAGTAGACCTTTCTTCAATCCAAAAGATATACGAATGGCCACAAAATATGTGAAATGATGCTCAATATCATTCATCATTAGGTGACGATAGATCAACACCCACAGATGGCTATTAAAGAAAAACAAAGCAAAAATAATAATAATAACCGGAAACCACTTGTTGAGTAATTTAGAACACTTACACGTTGCTAGTGGATGTAAATATGAACAGCTCTGAGGTGGTATCACCCAGTCACCACCACCTCCCCACAGTCACCTGTCAGTTCCATTGGGTGGAGAGGAAGGCCTCACCCTGGCCAGTGAGAAAAGTAAGAGCTTTGGAGAGTGTGGGAGTGGCCGTAGGGCCTGGAAGCTCAATGTTTGCCTCCCCGCCCCCACCCTGTAATGGGGGTTATCCTATTTACATGGGGAAGGGGGGGTGTCTGTGACAATAGCCCTAGTGGTGCCGCTGGCTACTACCCATGACACAGTCAAGTATGAGGATCATATCAGAAGATGTATATGACACTTAACACAGGGACCGACACATCAGTGCTGTCACATGGTTTTTGCTACTGTTACAAGGACTGACATTAACATCACTGTGAACATTTCAGTATTTGTGGGGCATTTATTGTTCATACTGGGTATCTTAGTCTGGGATTTCTAGTGAAGTGAAAGACGTGAAACATACATGTTTATATATATGTAGAGAGAGAGAGAAGTTCCTTATCAAGGAAGTGATCACAATTGTACAGTCCCAGGTCCCCAGTAGGAGAGTGAGAGAGAGAAAGACTTTCCCATGTGTCTGTTATATTGGGAGCAGGCCACACACCCAAGGAAGCACCTCTTCTATTGATTGGTTGCTCATAGCCACTCATTATAGAGGTAACTATGCCTGTATTTGGTTTCATCACCATGGGAATAAGCACATCTTACCTGCTAAATCATGGCAATGCTGGCCTAGTCAAGTTGACACAGAACCCTAACAACACTAGGTCATCCCATTTTGGAGAGTGCAGAAAGAACATTGAAGAGGCTCCAGAGTAAATCATGCAATATAATTAAGTAGTTGAGAAATAGAACCCTCCATCAGTAATGAAAGGGCTAATAATTAGAAATTATTTAGATATAGAGAATGCTGAGTAGAAAGCTTAAAAAAAGAAAAAGTAAAGCCCCATTACTTTAATTTCTGATCCTTTGTGTTTTGATTGCTTAGAAGAGGGCAGAATGAAGGAAAGATTTTGTTTAGTAAACAAATGTTTCAAACAAAATTGAAGATGTCACTGAATGCTTGTTTACTACAAGAGAAATTTTGAAAACTTAATGTATGGTTAAAACTTGTAATCTTATTATAAACCTTTCTGGCACCACAATTAGTGTCACATATACCACGCTGAATGTGCCAAATCTCATCTGATCTCTGAAGCTTAGCAGGGTTGGGCCTGGTTACTACTTGGATGGGATGCAGCTTGGGAATACCAGGTGCTGTAGGCTTTGGGAGCCCTGATATGGCACCTTAGCACTGAACCGCAAGGTTGGTTTGAATCACATGGTTGGTGGTTCAAACTCAACAACATCTCCTTGGAAATGCTATAAAGGGTGCTGTGAGTTGGAATCCACTGGATGACACTTTAACAACAACAATAACAACTTAACATGTGGTAAACATTCAGAAAACTTTATTGAATTAATTTCAACTCCAATCGTAGATTATTATATTCTCCAAAGACAGTGATCATATTGTTAGTTTGACAAATTTGTCATACATCAGCTCCTCTTCTCACTTCGTTCCCTAATAGTAAGCAGTGAACTGCTAACCACAAGGTTGGTGGTTCAAACCACCAGTCTCTCCTCGGAAACCCTATACAGGGCTGTTATGAGTTGGAACCTACTTTACAGCCCTTAACAACAATATTCTATAGGAAGAAAAAATATAGAGAGATAATTCTGAACAATCTAGTGTCATATCTAATTTTAGACTAAGCAATGGAAAATGAAATTGAATCAGGAGAGAGGTTAGCTCTGCTGACAGCCATTTTTTGATTCAGCAGACAAATGCTTGTTAATTTATGTGCCAGTATTTTATTAGTTTATTAATGTGTTAATTTCTAGAAGGCATGATACAGTTCATGTGTCTAGAAAGTCTTTCTTGAAGATATAAATTCTGTTCTAAAGCATAGATGAACTGTGATGCTTAGTAATTAAAAGAAGAAACACTGTATTCATCTAGCCTACATTTGAGTCCCAGGTCTCTAATAATCCAATTCTACAAGCATAATCATTTTCATGGTCTTTACTGTGGGAATTATATAGCTGTCTCCTTGGAAGCCCTATACAGTGTCACTATGAACAGAACTGATTCAATGATAGTTAACAACAACATAGCTTAAGTTGTTTTAAAACTTATGTATTAGCAA